ATGGCCTCACATCCAGACTTCAGGCCAAGTGGGGGCTTCTGCCAGTCCCAGGAGCACCAGGGCTCTGGGGTGCAGGCCATGCAGCAGAAGGAACTGCTGGGTAGTTACTGACCCCTTGGGCTAGATTTGGAGAGACAAACCATCTCACTGGGAAGGCAACAAGATGTCAGAGAAGCAGAGCCCTATGGGGATTTATGTCTTGGCTTGGTGGTTACCTGACTGGGTCGGGGGGCATTGGGCCCGTGGCCTCTCCCCAGACCCTTGGTGTTCTCATCTGTCAGTGAGGAGTGTCAGCATCCACAGGGATTGCTGAGGTTCCTTCCCAGGCTTTGGCCTTTGATTCCTGTGATTCAGGGGAAATGCCCAGACTCCCAACAGATGTGTGCTTTGAGTAGAAGCACCAGGTGACTATGGTCCAGTCAGGCCCTTGGCCACAGTTGATGAAGGAGGGGCAAGGCTCTCCGTGGCTATGTCAGCAGGAGGTCACTGAGAGGAACACTAAAAGAAATGGGGAGAAGGCAGAAAAGGGGTGCAGCCATGTGCTTGGGGCCAGCCCCATGAGAGGCTGCCTGTGTGCCTGGACAGTCGGAGGGGACTGCCAGTCATTCTGCTCTCCAGTGTCCCCCAGGCTCCTCTACCTGCACCCTGGCCCTGCAGCCCTCCCCACCTTCTAGTCTGAGCACTGAGATTAGATTGTATCCTGTATTGTCCCCAGGAGGCAGTGGTGGCTTGTTTTATCTCAGACCGTGGTAGGCAGCGAGGGCAGGGCTGGAGGGAAGAGTGGCCTCCAAAGCTGGACTGAGCTGCCTCAGACAAGGTAGCCACGTACAGCCAGACCTTCACATTGCATGACACACCCCAAAGTGTCCATTTCTCCATTTCTTTGGTGGCCTGCGCAAGGCTAAGGTAGCTGGAGCCTGCAGCTAGCAGGGTTTCTGCCTGTCTGTCTGTCTTTCTCTCACACTCTGTCTGTTTTTCTCTATCACACACACTCTTGTCTGTCTTTCTCTCCCACTTCCCTGGAGGATGAGCAGGGATTAGTACCAAGTCTCTCCTGACACCAGGGGGGAGCCTGTCTGAGCCGCTCGGGAGTCCTCCCCGTGGAGTGGCCACATCCTACTCTGCAGTGGGAAGTGGGAGGGTTGGGGATGGATGGATGCCCACTTTGCCATTCAGATGAAGTGCTACAGCTGCCCGAAGTGGTTTTCTTTGGGGCCCAGGAGAGAGAACAGTGTGCAGGGACCCAGGAGGCAGCCTCTCTCTGGTTCCTGGTCAGTGTCCTCATCTCGAATGTGAGATCGATCTGATGGAGTTCAGAGGATCTAGGAGGTCATTGGTCCAGGGCTAGCTGGGAAGCCCTGGCCTGTATATGCACGTGGCTCCTGCTGGAACCCTTCCAGAAGGTGTAGGTTTCTACCCCCCAGGGCCCAGTGCCTAGTTGAAAAGTTATAACTGTTAGAACTTACACTCATTCATCCTCTGTTCTGTATATTTATTGAGGTTTCACTCTAGGCCAGGGTCCCTCCCAGGGCCACCAGTCCATGAAGTGAGGCCACTTGAACTGAATATCCTTGGAGGCAACAAGTCCCGTCAATGGTGTTCTGTCTTGGCATCTCTAACTGCCAAGCCTCCTGCCAAGCGCTGCACATCACTTACATCGTGTAAACTTCTCTACCACTGTAATGGGGTTGGCATGCTTGTCCCTATTTTACACAGAAGACACCGGGTCTCATGAGTAAGTGGCAGCTTTTACATGGCTCAGCTTAGAAGAGGCAGAGCTGACCGAAGCCCAGGTGGGCTCTGTGTCCAGCCTGAGCTCTCAAGCTCTGTGCCTTCTCCTGAGAAATACCTGCCCTCAGTTGCCCCTTCTGTAAAACAAGGGTTCCACATGCCTGTTGGATTTATTTTAAGCTTTAAGAGAGATGGTGCATAGAAAGCACTTAGTCTTTAGTTGCTGGCACTAAGTTCTAGATAAATAGTGGCCAATCACTATGTAACAGCTCTGCTCCTTACCTCTCTTTCCCGCCGTGTGTCCCCAGCAAGACCATAACCTCTCTGGGCCTGCACCCCCTTTTCTACAGAGGATGGGTTTAGATCTGTTCCTGGTGAGAGATGCTTTGGCCAGAGCGAGGTCAGAGGTGGACAGGGGCTTTCCCTCCAGGCCCAGATCGCTAACCTGGCCCCTGGCATCAGACTTTGTAGAGCTCCCAACTCCTCCCTCTCCCTACCACTCCTCCGGTCCTGCCTCCCACACATGGTAATTAAGCCCACAACATCCAGTGTAAGCAAATAATAACAAGGGCATTATCTCCCTTCAGTCTGTGTTTTTCCTTGCCTATCATAAAGTAATTAAAATAATGAATGCCTTGTAAAACAGTAGTTAAGAGGGCTGGTAAGAGGGCGTGATCTGCCATATACCTCATCTGCTCTGAATTATTGATGCACTGAAACTACTGGGACTAAGAGGACTCCCTGCCGCCCAGCACTTTTCATGCCAGTTCCCTCCTTCGTGGTCTGCCATGTGGCTGTGGAGCCTGCATCCCAGGGCTGGATCCCCAGAAGCAGAGAGCTCGCCCTCCAGGCATCAGGCTGTGGCCATAGACCAGCTCCTGGGAGACATTGAGAGCCTTCTTCCTACCCCAACCTCCTCTCTGTCCAACCCACTTTCTCTAGTTCTGAAAGAAGGAGGTGGTTCTGTCCCTGAGTGAAGGGAGAGGCTGGGAAAGAGCTGGGGTTAAGCTCCATGTCCCAAGTCAGATCAGGGTAAGGATGACCAAGCTGTGCCAGGATGATTAGGAGCAGCAGTTCTCCAGGTGGGGTTTCCAGATGAGCAGCCTCCCTATAACTTGGGAAAGTGACAGAAATGCAGGTTCTGGGGTGGTGTGGCATCCAGCACTCCGTGTTTTAACAAGCGCTCTAGATGGTTTTGATGCCCTCTTGAGTTTGAGAACCACTGTGGCACAAGGAGAAGCAGGAGGTGGTGGGACTAATTAATTGGCTGTATCATGTGCCATTGGGCAGTTTAATCCCACCCATGTCTATAGGGCCTGCAATATCGTCCCCATATTACACAGGCGTCCTGCAGGGCAGGAGAGCTGAATCTCCACCTTCAGTGACTAAGGCTGCCCCTGGATTAGGGCCTCCATCTCTTCTAGGATACACTTCTGTGCTGTTTCCACATGGCTGAGACCCAGGATCCTAACAGGCCATGGAGACCCACCTCAGGTGGCTTGGGAAGCAGGCTCCACAGATGTCAGTCAGCAGACAGCTCCTGATATGCCCACCCTACAGCTCCCCCCACCACCCCAGGCCTCCTCTTGGACTGTTCTAGCTCCGTGGGGCCAGTACACTTGGAAATAACATGAGCGCCCAGTGTTGCAGTGCTCCTTCTCTCCTCCCAGCTTTCCAGAATCAGGGGAGGCCGGAAGGGAAGAATCAGGTGGCAGGAGCAGCTTCCTGCCTGCCTGCAAGTCCCCAAGGGGTGACTCATCCGGTGCCTCCCAGCCCTGCTTTCCTCTCTGTGCTGCACCCCTACTCACTGCAGACAGAGATTCCCCCCTTACTCCAGTTCACAATGATCCCTGGTGTCTGTTTGGTTTGTTAATTAATTCTAGGCTTTTAAATGATGAACATAATTTGTTGGCACCTTTTTATACATATATCTGCAAAAATAATCTCAGTATTTGAGTAGCGGGCCCAGTTACATTTAAATTTTAGATAACACGTTTTTACTATGTTCCATGCAATATTTGAGGTATGTGCTAAAAATCAATGTGTTGGTTGCCTGAAATTCAAATTTCTCTGGGTGTCCTGTATTTTGTTTTGCAATGCCAAGCTCAGGCTCTGTAGTCAGTAAGGGCCAATACTCAGAACTCTTTCTATGCATACGTTCATCGTTCATGTTTTTTGAGCCAACTATATGCCAGGCACTCAAGGTATACAAGTTAGGGGAAGTGGACTGTAAATGAAATAAGTAAGTCAGTTGCAGAGTATCTTAGAGGTTTGAAGTGCTGTGAGAAAAGTAAAGCAGAAAGGTGATGCTTTTGGAAGGTAGAGTTGGGACTTTTTAAAGGTAGTCAGAGAAGATGTCATTGGAAGGGTGATATCTGAGAAAAGACTTGATGGAGGTGAGGGAGTATGCCATGGCCCTCTGTGGGAGGAGTGTGTTTCAGGCAGAGGACACATTGTGTGCAAAAGTGTACAATTTTAGGGCCCCACTGGGGCTCAGTTATCTGGCGAGGTCAGCCTCATTTCCTCAGGTGCATTGTTAGCCACAAAGGGGGAATTTGTTGTCTCTGTAACTAAAAGGGTCTCGTGTAGATTTCAGGCACAGTTAGACTCAGGTGTTCAAATGAGGGCATCAGCATTCTGTTGTTTCTCCTAGTTTCCTCTGTGGTGGCTGCATCCTCAGGGAAGAATTTTCTCTCCTACTCTTTCCAGCAAAAGTCCCAAGCTTGAGTTGTATTGTGTTGGCCTGGATCACAATCATCCCTGGACTGGTCACTAGTGCCAGAGGGATGGAATGGTCCGATTGACCAGTCTCCGTTCCCAGCATGGACCATCAGTTACTTTTGAACCACACAGACTAAGATGAGGAGACAGTATTTCCAAAGAAAAGAGAAGCTGCTTCTGTGAGAAGGGTTCAAAGAGTGGGCAGGTGGAGACCACAGTGTGCTGATCTCACCTCCTTCAGAGCCAATCCATGATCCTAGATAGGATGCTAGCCTTCCTGAGTTTTGCGGGGTTTTTTCTTTAAAATGGGAAGAGAAGCGTTCATTCTTTCTTTCAAAAAGACATTTTAAGAGGAAATAAAATACTCTTTTTAAAAAAGACTTCTAAAAAAAGCTATCAAGGCCATAATCCTTCTCTCTGACCCCTGAGCTTTCAAGCCATTTCTCACCGCTGCCGGGATGCTTGTGGCTTTGATTATTTTGGATAGGTTGTGTTTTTTAAAATCTAGTTGGTCCCTATGTCTCAACCCTTGTTCTCTCTGTTGTCAGGAGGCCCAGAAGATCAACAATGGCTCGAGCCAGGCGGATGGCACTCTCAAGCCAGTGGATGAAAAAGAGGAGGCGGTGGCAGCCGAGGTCGGCTGGATGACCTCCGTGAAAGACTGGGCGGGGGTGATGATATCTGCCCAGACATTGACTGGCAGAGTCCTGGTGAGTCTCCAACTCCCTCCTCACACGAGGAAGTCTGCTATCTGGTCCATGATCCCTCTGTTTATAGGGACGTGATATTTTACTGTATCTTCTCCGGGCCACTGGTTATTGAAAGTTGGGGGTGAATGGCAAGTGCTTGTGTGTGGTCATGGAGGAGAGGCTGGGTTCTTTGGGCACATCTGAGTTAGTGGTTTGTGGGGGTGGGTTGCCGAGTCGGCCAGTGGGAGGGGCAGAGAGGGTCCACTGGGGAGGATGTGGAGCATTTTCTCTGCTGGCAGGATAGGTACACACATGCATGCATTCACATGCACACACACGCCTTGATAATCTCGGAGAAAAGAGAGGCAAAGAAACATGTGCTTAGAATTTGCAGAGGGCCCAGAATGCCAAGATCCAGGGAGTTCTCAGTATGAGTGTTTTGTGTGTGTCTTTATTGGCCTTCTGGAGATCGGGCTGTTGTCCTCTGGCTGCCGAGCCGAGAGAACCCCTTTTGAGGGAAGCTTCCTGATCTGCCCTGATCTGGATCCTGCCCATGGTGGAAATCCTCAGTCATACTCATTGTCAATCATACCCACCTGAGACTGCCTGGTTGCATGCTTGGAGCACTGCTTATGTGACCTTATTTCTGCTGAGTCCTCACCCCTTCGGTAGCCAGAGTTCATCGTACTCCTTCTCTGGGCATTTACTGCATTCTCTCTGATATGCTCATGTGGAACCTGGTTTTTCTGACTGGCCTCATGAACTCTTGGTTTTGCAAGGATTGTGAGTGCGACAAGCCTAGAGCGACCAACCCTCCCTGTTTGCCAGGAACTGAGGGGTACTTGGGACATAAGTATTTCATTGCAGAGACTGGGAAAGTCCTGGGAACACAGGCATGAGTTGGTCACCCCAGCCAGGCCTTGATCCTGCCATAGGTGGGCTCCTTCTCTGGGCTAGCCCTGTCTACTGGCTTTCTGGGTCTGCTCTGGGTCGGGAATTTCCCTGAGAAGGATGTAGTGTTCCAAATGATTTCTTATGATTCTGGAAGCTGTTTTACATGGGCTGCCCTTTCAGGGCGTGAAGCTGGAGCTTGGTAAAGAGTCATTTGGCTCATAGATAGAATGAATGGGGATGTCCTGATGGCTGGGAGGGCCAAAGCTCAGGCAGGGTTCAGGAAAATAGAGGTCATCACCCTCAAAGTGTTTCATGGCAAAGACTCCCCAAGGTGACTGCAGGTGTAGGGAGGTGGTGAAAAATTTCACCCATCGGAATCCTTCTTGGGGAGAACTTCATGCTATGTTTGGGATGAGTATTTCACAAACTACTTGAGGAAGGAGTAAGACACTGAATGTCATGTTCAAGTCACAAGGGTAGTGGCCAGACAACCTTCAAGGAGGACGCAACCTTCGGTTCTGTTAACTGATTGAGGGACCCATTGGTTGCTGAGCCTTCTGATGAGCCTGGATATGAAGCCATGGCTGATGTCCATTGGTGGAAAATAGGAAGGAGAGAAATTTAAAGTTGTGATGTTGGAGGGGAGGAGAGAGAAGCTACAGTGGCTGGTTGCTGCATGGAGGAAGACAGAGAGGGGACGGTCCAGGTTGGTGGTACCCAGGAGAGACTAGGCGACTCCATGTTTCACAAGGAAGTGGAGGTGGCTCACTGTGGGCTGTGCTTTGTGTCCGCCATCATTGTCCACCCTCCAGGGTCTCCAGTACAGTCTCCATTTCTCACCTGTGGTTGTCCATGAGTAGATTCTTTGTGGGAAACTTCAGGAGGTTGAATTTTGGGTCTGGGCATTCACATGGGAAGAAATGGAGGCAGTGCATTCCATACATATGGTAGCGAAGGCAGTTCGGCTGCTGCTTCCATGGGGCCACTGTGGACCATTCTGATCATCTTCATCAGCATCAGCCAAGAGTTGCCAAGCAGCAACTCTGGGCCAGGTGCTTCTCAGCCCTGTGGTAAAAAGGAATGATACTAATTCCATTGCAACATGGATGGAAGTTATCGAAGGGATGTCTGGAGGAGAAATGCTGTGAGTACAAGCTTGTGCGTATGTCAGGAGGGAGGCTGAGAAGGGGGAAGTAGAGGAATCAGAAAACCTTCATAGGACTTCACAAGGAAAAAAGCCTTTGAGCTGAAACTTCCATTTCAAGGGGAAGTAAGCACATGCGTGATGACACAGAAGATATCAAAAATAAAAACATACTTGAGCTTGAAAACAAGAAAGGGACCACTTCATGGTCAGAAGCTGAGAAGCTTTAGAAGCTGAGAAGAATACCTAATAGAACAGAAAGCATCTGAGTCGAGTTCTGAAATGGGAGCTAGAATCTTGAAAGTCAAAGGAGAGGAAGTCATTCCAGAGTAAGGGGGCAGCAGGAGCAGAGGAAAGGCCTGGCACACGGGGAATGCGGCCCAGGTGGCCAACACAAAGGTACCTGAGGGGAAGTAAGACCGGAAGGTGGGTGGAGACAGCTCGTCAGGTTTTCAGATGCCAAGTTTAAGCATTTGCACTGATTTTTTAGGAAAAGGAGATTTTGAAGGAGAGGGTATTATGATTGGTGGTTGTGCAGAGAGAAACACAAGTGGACAAGTGGAGACCAACTTGGTAAGGCAGGAGCTCGGAGGTGCTGGGAGAGTTAGGATAGTGAGCCCCTGGCAGCTGTGACAAGACACTAGCATATTACTGGGGTGGACCTGGTGGGCTCAATCCAGCGGCAGGGGCAGGTAGGTGGATGTGGGTGACATGTGCAAGCAGAACTCACAGGCTAAGTGCACCCAGCAGGCACTTAGATGCTGCTATAACATTACCTATACTAACTAGAACATTATCGAGAGCCAGGCACCGTCCTAGGAATACACACTATGATCTGGTTGAAGGGTGAGGACTTGTATCCATTCTGTATCTCCCATTTTGCTGTTGTGTTGTAGGGGTTCATCACAGGAAGCCAGCAAGTTAGTCTTACCAATGAATTCATCTCAGTTTTACTTTTACAGGAACAGCAGCAACTTGCCCAAGAATCTGCGGCAAGGTGACAGAACCAGCCTAGTTAGTATCTGTAGGCCTCTGGACTTCCCATCCAATGCTTTTTCTGCATCATTACTTTCCAGTAGAAGATAATGCCTCTTCTTTTCTAAGCCCCTGCCAGCTGTCACTTTGGCTGTGACATTTGGACCTTACTGTCTCTGAGCCTATTAGGTCCTGAGGCTGCTTCGCCTACTTCTTTGACATTTGCACGGACAAGCACGGTCTGCCTGGGGCCTCCTTTCCTGGAACTGCCCATGATGCCAGTTGCTCTCTGCATGTCTCATTGGAGAAAATCCTGCCCAGGCTGCTCTGGTGCATGCAGGGAGGAGCAGGTCCTGCTGTGCAGAGAGCAGAATCTCAGAGCTCCAAAGGATACCTTTAGAACAGGCTGCTCCTTTAGGAGAAGGCAGGTACTTGCCCTGAGCAAGGAATAGATTTCACGCTGAAGTCTCATTGCACCAGAGAAAGCAGTTTTGCTTGCTTGGACCCCAGAGCTGTGTTTGTCTTGTGCTGTCCAAATGTTTATCCTTGTAACAGTGGGACCAAAGCAAGACAAGACGTCCAGCTGTTCAGTTTCCCTTTTCAATTTTTAATTTGTTTTCCTTGACACCCAGCTCAGGAGCTTGGCCTCCACACCTGGGCCCCCTTTTTCACCTATCTCATCGTCACAAGTGAGTCTCAAAGCTGGGGCATTGTGGGTAAAGTCCAGGTGGGGATGGATTCTCCAAGACAACCTCAGCGTACCTGGAGACTCCCCTGTTGTCCAGGGTCTCTCAGATGAGTACATCATCCTGTCAGTTAGTATTTCTCAGCTGCCCCAGGCACTATTCTAGGCACTGGGCAAAAAGCAGAGAGCAACAGAGATCTAGGGTAATACTTATTTGTATTAATAAACTAGATACAAAGTTGTAGAGCCCAATGTAAAAAATGATCAACAGTAGGCACGATTCACCTGTGCTTTTTATATATAGTCAAACCTAGAGCTTCATCACAAAGTGATAAAAATTTCTTCCTCAGGTCTCAGAATAGCCTGTCTTTGCCATGATACTCACCTTGGCACTTAGGTTTAGCTTCACAGAAACAGCAAGACTGGACAGTCTTCTGTTAGAGCGCGAGGCCGGCAGACATCAAAGTAAATACTAGGCTGTCAAGCATTTCTGTTCTCTTTATCTTTTTCCAAATTTGGGAATATACTGGGAGAATTGGTGATAAATTCCACTTTGGGATTTGAGTTGGCCCACACTGAGGGGCATTTCAGTGTAGCAGCAAATGCCATCAAGGTATCTCCCAGCCCTTTGGGTATTGTTGGGGACCTGTTTCTCTGCCTCTTGTGTTATCTGCTTTATGTACAGACGCTGGGGATAAATAGTAATTTGTGCTAGGGATTGCTGTGGTCCTCCTGGTGGACCTTCAGGGGACACTCTAAATTGGGAAAGGGACTGTGACCCCCTTTGTGTAGTGGCTAGTTGGAGCCAAGCTCTTGGCCTACTGAAAATACAGAGTCTCAGGGTTTGCATTCTGTGTATTCACATTCTCTGGCTTCCTCTGCACATGTCTTATTTCCCTTTGCCCTGAGTTCCTTACTTTTCTTTTGTACTTTACATGTATGTGGTTATGTGCTCCATACACTTTTGTGAGCCAGATTAAATCTTTCTAAGGATAAGGCATATAAATAAAGAGGACAGGAAACACACAGAGTAGGCTTTTTTGTCCTTTGGTTGTACTTTATTGAATTATAAGAGAAAATCAATATTAGAGATAGTCTAGTTCAGGGTTGGCAAGTTTTTTTGTATGTGGCCAGATTAGTAAATATTTTAGGCTTTGCAGAAGACAGGGCCTCTGCCACAACAACTACAAGTTTGAAAGCAGCCACAGGTAGTACATGGGTGTGACTGTGTTCCAGTAAAACTTTACAAAAACAGGTGGCAGCCCAGACTTGTTTCACGGACTATAATTTTCTGACACTTGGTCTGTTCGACTCATTTTATAAATAAAGAAATTGAAAGACAGACATTGAAAGAAATTCCATCGGAAGGAATTTCCTAAGGTTACAGCACACATACATACTCACACCATCTCC